GAAATGTTGAGAAACATCCTATAAGGAAAAGGTTCTTCAAAGAAAGAAACTTGAAAGGAATACCAGTTTTAATTACCCATTTGTGGCACTTTGTGTAACCATCTATAAAAGCTACCGTATGAATTCTGGAACTTTGGACTTCTTTACTTAGGGTGTGTACGTACTTATTTTCCCTGCTAGTATTAATGAACGTTTTCCTGATACCTCGCTTTTTAATACACCTCCTGGCAGTTTTCTAAGAAAAGTCTCCGCACTTCCTACACTCTTAACTGTTAAACTACTCCAGTTTTCTGCCCGCTGGCACTGCCTGTGCAAACTAGTATTTTTATGGCTATCCTATGCCTTGGAGACCCAAAGAAGGTGAAGAGTCAGTAAGTATTGTCATTGAAGTGTTCCCAAAGTCTGGAGTAACTCCACCTACAGAAAACCTGTCCATGACAAACATGATCAACAGTAGTTTTTATGTCCAAAGCAAGGTTTTCATTCATTCAGCCCTCCAGACATGTTTTTTAGTTGTGTGTTTAAATCTTTGAATGGTTGTTATTCTTTTTTTAGGCCAGGTGTCATTTTGATTGTTTTTGCAGGGAACTATAAGTACATAAAATAAAATGGTAATGAATACAAAAACATGATGTGTGGAAAATGAAAACAGCAGCTTGAAAAGAGATAGAAACAAGAAGGGAAATTGACACAGAAAAAAAAACAGAATAGAAAGCACAACCCTTTCATCTAGGTGTAGCCTATATTTTCCTTGTAGTAAGAACATGATGTCAGTCAGCACCTGGAAGAGTAGTCAAAACCTTCCCATCAGGGAACCTTTTCACATCCATTTTCTGCACATGTTCTAAGGTTGTTCTACACTTCAACCCAAGTATCCAACTTAGAAGACATTCAACACTTCCCTCCAGGTGCACATTACTCTGCCATGACCAGCTGTCTCCTTCAGGAGCTGTGGCTCAGTGGTAGGGCACCTGCTTCGCATGCAGGTAGCCACAAGTTCAATCTCCAGCATTTCTGGGTAGGACTACCTGAGAGCCTGTCAACCATCAATCATCAATATCAATCTAGACAAAAGAATGGATCACTTGACTTAACATAAGGTGGTGACTTATGCCCAAAATCTGCTGAACCTCTCAGGAACGTCAGAATGTAGGGCAGTGGTCCCCAATCTTTTTGACACCAGGGACCAGTTTAGTTGAAGATCATTCTCCCAAGGACCGTGGGGGGGGGAGCATACTTGTTATGCAGTAGGCTCTTGGATAGCTTTGAATCAAGCTGATAAAGGAAATGGCGAGCAGAAGCAGGAGGTGAGGTGCAATTGAAGCTCCGCCTCCTGTCAGATCAGCAGCAGCTTAGAACCTAATAGGAGTGCAGGCTCCTCTTAGATGCTAATGCCACAGGCACAGCTGATCTAGCAGCAGCAGGGAGGGAACGAAGCTCTGCCTCCTGTAAGATCAGCAGTGGCATTAGGACCTAATAGGAGCACGCTGACAGGAGGCGGAGCTTTGCTCACCACTCACCTCCTGCTTGCCGCTTATCTGTCCTGGCAGCTCAGTCCTTCCAAGGCCATGGACCGGGACTGGTCCACAGCCAGGGGGTTGGGGACCCCTGGTGGTATTTCCCTGCCACTGCAATGACACCTGAGATTATTTTAAGGACCACTGATAAAATGCTTTTTCCCCCTTTTAAACGCGTATTTTAAGGACCACTGATAAAATGCTTTTCCCCCTTTTTAAACGCACACGCACACACAGACACACACAGAGGACTTCCTTTTAAAGACCATCTTCTGTTGTTCACATCATAACTAATCAGTTGTAGGGCCAGTCCTATCAATAAGGAGAGTGAGTCAGCGGTCTCAAGATGAGAGAGACCCTGGGGAGGTGGCTGTGAACCTTGAAATAAGGTTGAGGTACCTGGAATGAAGGGAGGTGCCATTTTGTCTGTTGCTTCAGTCATCAATATGTCTTGGGTCAGCTCTGATCAGAAGATAACATGACCTCCAAGAGATCATCCAGTGCCACCCGCAGACCACACAATCTCCCCTGCACAGGTAAAGTGGCTAGAGAAACACGATGCAGGGCTCAATAAAGGATTCAGAACATAAGTTTTTGGCCACATGATGCGTCTTCATGGTCTAAATGTTTATTCTGCAAACAGCTATCAAGGAGACTAAAGCTCAGAAATCTTAGTTTATTTCAATCTCTTATTATAACAACTGCAAACTGTACCTCTCCAGTGTCTTCCTCTTGTGTGCAACTGTTAAGATGTAATAAAAATACAAAATCAACAAAGGGCTTTAAAAAAAGACACTTTTATCTCCTTTCATGATACCCCAAGTGTGCTGCCTGGACAGCTGCCTCACTCTTTCTAATAACAGAACTGGCTCTGCTAGATGGCATTGACTTCATCATGGGCTCTTACTACTCATATGCCAGGCAGTTGGCCTGGAAAATGAAGTGTCCTTCTGGCCTATGGATCACAATCTACAGAGTAAAGAGTACAAGGGTAGGCAGCCTGGTACCCTTCAGATGTTTTAGTTGCAATGCCCATAATTCTCAATCAATCTCTAGCTGATGGGAGTTCAGCCATACCCAAAACACATGACAGATGTCACCTTATCAGTCCTTCAGCACAAGGGTTCCCAACCTAGATGTCCTTGGACTAAAACTCCCAGCAGCCTTCACCATTAACTGTGCTGGCCTGGGTTTCTGGGAGCTGAAGTCCAAGAACATCTGGGGACCCAAGGTTGGGAACCACTACCTCAGTGCACTCTAGATGTTTTGGTGTACAAACTCTCACAATTTCTGACCATTGCCCATGTTGTCTGGAGCCAATGAAGGCTGTTGCTCTAAAAACAACTGGCTGGCAGTAAGTTACTTAGCCTCTTATTTTCATCTGAGGGAGAGCAGATGACATGAATCCCCATGGCCCTTTCCTCCATTTGATCTGCTCTCACTGTATCAAACCTCTGCTGGGAATCTTTTTTATTATACTGTATTATTTTATAAGGGAATGGGAATCATTTGTAGTGTTGTAAAACATTCTTTAAAAATTGATGAATTCCAGCTGTGCCAATCTGGCATCTAAGAGCTCCTTAAGGGCAGTGTTCCCATCACATCCATTTTAAAACATTCTCATAATGTGTTGATGTCACCTCTATGAAATCATCTCCACCCTCACTGTTGTCATGTGTTCCACAGGTATCAGTGATGATCATGTTTCTATAAATGGCAGGATGTCATCACTTAGAGCCCTTGGGAACATATCTTCTGTTTAGCAATATTGCAGTCAGTGCTTCTGGTACAGAAGTGGTTCCCAGTCTTGGGTAGCCCAGTACTGCAATTCCCAGAAGCCTTCACCCACCAGCTGTGCTTCCTGGGGTTTCTGGGAATTGCACTCCGAGACAATTTGGGTTACCCAAGGTTGTGAACTACCATGGTAGAGGTAAATCCCTCACTCCCATAGAAAGAATAGGGGTCTCTGTTACCAGTCTCCCATCCCTTTGACTTCCTCCTATAAAGCATGGTGCCACAGTTTAGAGTGGAGTCCTGGGTTCCAATGTTCACTCAGCCATGAAGCTCACTCAGTGACCATTGGCCAGTCACTCTGTCACAACCTGACATGCCCCACAGGACTGTGATGGGGGTAAATTTGGGGGCTGGGGACAGAGCCTTGCAGAAGAAAAGTAAGATGCAACAGCAGAAAATCAATCAATAAAATACCCCTTTTCAGAAATAGGTAGTTGCATAACCCTTTACACACATCCTCACTTAACTCAATAGGACTTCCTGAGGAGGAGACATGTAAAATTTGGGAGGGGGGGTTCATATAAGCGGAGGATCCTCACTCCCCATCTGTTTATCATATACGTACATTTAGTACATTTCTGCAATGCACATGTGTCCAGTGTGAAGGACTTCTTAAGTGTAACTGTGCACAGGCAGCTAGAGATCCTAGGCCTCCTGGCCTGCTGCACATCTCCCAAGGGCCAAACAAGGGTCTTGTGCAGTCGCTTCTGTAAAAGGTAACAGAAATACTTTGGTCCATGTGTTCCGAACCCTCCCTATCTCTTGCTGTCAGCAACCCTCCCAATAATCCTGTAAGGCAGACCAGCAGACTGCGGGTGGGATCAAGAAATGGGGCCTACTAAGGCTGGCCTGAAAAGACTGCCTGATGGGTTCTAGACTATTTTAAGTTGGGACACTTGGTTACCTGTCTAAGTAAGTTTCACTCGGAATTTGAGTCTCACCTTCTTCAGAAGGGCTTACTCACCAGCCAGCATGCAGAGGACCTGAAACTCTTTTGCTTCCCAGAGTACGTAGGTTGTTCCCAGCCTTGCCCTTAGGATCCCCTTTCACCTCCTCTTAAGCCGACCCCACCTCCTAATAGCTTAATTTCATGGAAACATCTGCCCCCCCCTCCCCGCACTTCCTTCCACTTATTCTTCACGCAGGCTTTGCCTTCCGCCTTGCTCCACACCCGCAAAGGGAACCCAGGTGTCCTGGGGAGCTGCAACCCAGTCCGGACCACCCTCCTTCCTCTTAGGGACTCCTAATGAGGCGGAGAAGGAGGAAAGGGATCATTAACTAAGGGATAATTAGCCGCAGCACACCCCCTTTTCCGGGGGGAGGTGGGGGCTGGGGAAGACGCGTGCGGGAGGAGAGGAGAAAGGAAGGGAAGGTCACAGTTTTAAACATCATCGCAGGAGCAGCGCCAACCCTGCCGCCCTTCCTCCTCCTCCTCCTCCTCTTCCCCCCATCCATCATGACATCATCCCCGTCCCTCGCCCACCCTCGCCGAGCGGTGATCTCCATCTGGGCGACCCCTCGCGTCCCCATTGGCCAGCCGGAGCTGCCCGTCATTGTCCCGAAGTAGGCGGGGCCCCTCCACGCCGCCTTCTCCCTCTCCCTCCCGCCCCTCCGCCAGCCTGAAACTGGGACTTGGGAGCGTGACAGCTGGCGGCGGCGGCGGCGGCGGCAGGAGGTGGGCAGCGTCCGGGCGGCGGCGGCTGCACCAGCAACCCCAGCAGCCGGTGAGTGCCAGCTTCTCTGGGTACCACATCCTCCCCACAGCCCAAGGATGTGGTTGCTGGGGGAGACGGGATGCAGGAGGCGGGGAAAGTGAAGGCGGAGGAGGAGGAGGAGGGGAGAGAGAGAGAGAGAGAGAATCAGCTAGGCGGAAAGTTTCCCCGCTTCCCTTTCGCGTCCTCCGGACTGACCTAATTCCTCAGCGCCCCAGGCTTGATCCCAGCCCCAGCCCTGCCGTCCCCATCTGGACTCCTTGCCGTCCCTTTCATCCCTTCGCTCGATCTTGGTCCTCGATCTGCCGCACCGACCTCCTGGATCCTCGCACCCACCCCTTTCCTGAGCCCAGAGAGGGGAAGACTTCCCTCTCCATCCACCCACCTTCCAGGACTTGCCTGTCCCTCCGAAAGAAAAGGGGGGAAAAAAGACACACCCGAGAGTTTCAGTTCACTTTTCAGACCATCCTCTTCCCCCACCCCCGCATCCCACTCACCCACCCCGTTGCCCTCCATCCCTTCACTCAGCTCCGGTCGGTGGAGCCAGACCCCTTGCCCTGGTGCAAAAAAGAAAGAGGCTGTGAGTAGATGGGCGGGTGAGAAGGGTTGGGGTGGGTTTTTAAACTACTCTCCCTGCTCCTGGTAGAAGCACCTGGGACCAGGGCAGGCATAGTGCTGGGATCTGCCCTAGTCAGTGCAGGCTGGCAAAGTAGAGGAACCATCATTATTGGCAAGGAAACAGATTAAGAAACCTGGGGTTCCAGTAATCTGGTACACGGATTCCCCTTCCTCTTGCAGGGGACAGTGAGACACATACAATTTTGAAGGGTTATAATAATTGGAGGTCTCCACTGCCCCTACAATCACTTGGCCAGTTTAGTAGCCAGGCGTTTTGGTCGCATGCCCAGTGCTTTAGAGTTAAGTGAACAACTTCATGTGCATTGAAACACATGGTGTACCATCTGTCACCCGGCTGAGAGCCACCGCATTACTTAACTGTGCTGCAATGTATGCTGTGGGTAAAAGAACAGCATTCCTGAGTCCTTGCACTCCTGCTCCAAGTGGAAAATTTGGGGAGGAGGGAGAGAGAAAGGACTTGTTAACCCTACAGAGGTTGTTGGATGGCAACTCCCATCGCCCCTAGCTAGCATCCCTAAGAGGGAGTGGTGATGGGGGCTTCATCCCTGTGTCCCTCCTATCCGTGCCCAGTAGTCTCCAGAAAAGCAGTAGAGTAGGAAAGCTGTTCAAGCATGCCTTGGGGACAATCCAGTCCTCACTTAAACTCATGGGGGGAGAGAGGTGTTTTTTTAAGGAGAAACAGGCTGAGATGCCAGTGTGGAAACTCTGAAAAGGGCACTAAGTTTCATTAGAAAAGCTGTCTGATTGGAGGTAGGGGATCAGTGGTTGATGGGACCCTCATTTTCCATCAAAGCTGCTGAAGGAGAATGTATGCTCAATAAAGACCAGGTCCCATTCTTATATCCACCCACCCACACCCAGTGATTCTTATACAGAAACAAGAGGTTAGACTAACAACATTTTCCTGCCTCAGACACAGTGGTAAATTTATCTTAGAACTGCAGAGTTGGAAGGGACCCTATGGATCCTTGAGTCCAGTTCCTCTCAAGGAGGCGCCGTGGGGAATCGAACTCCCAACCTCTGGCTCCACAGCCAGATGCCTAAACCACTGAGCTATCCAGGAGTTCAAGTGGGTGTCCATGCCAAGTCAAGGGGAACAGGTTATTTGGACACCTGTGGCAAAAAAAAATCCTCTCAGCTCCATTACCCTACTCGTTGTCAATTTCAGAAATGCCACGACAATTGGACAAATAACTCTTTTCTCCCCTTATATGGCACCCACAACCTGCTGCCTGAGGCAGCTGGCTCACTCCATCCAAGTCTCTTAGCAGTCCCTGAGTAAGTGGCCACCGCATTAGCTTAAGCTTGCTCCGCTTTCCTGTTTCATCATCCTGCGCACGTTGCAAATGGATGGAACATTAATTCTTTACAGAGAAAAACGATGCTCGGGGGCATGAAGGGCAAAGCAGTCCCTTGCTAAAGGGCAACTTCTTCGCAGGAGGTGACCTTTGGGGATGTGTGTGTGTGTGTGTGTGTGTGTGTGTGTGTGTGTGTGTTGGAAGCAACCTTATCAGATGTTTCAGAAACTAGAGGGAGCAAGGACCATATCAGGCAGCTAATTTGGGCAGCTTGAGTGGGCAGCAGATTGCTCAGGTTTAATTTATTCATACTTTTATTTTTACTCTCAGGGATGGGAAAAAAGAGCTTGAGGGATATTTTGCCTCAGGGACCAAATTTAATTGACCTGGGAGGGTAATGCATGTTGTGGGAGGCAGCTGCGATAATGTCCCCCTTGCCTTAACTCATCTGTGTGTACCATTCATTCTGCTTTAGCCAAATGCCACAGAGTCGCTGCTAAGTCTCAGACAGCAGCCTGCTTTGAAACAGCCCTGCAGATGCAATTGGCAAAAAAATGTTTGTTTGTTTTAAAGAGTCAAAGAGAAATACAAGTTAGGTCAGGCAAAGTTCAGCCCTCCAGATGATGTTGGATAGCAGCTCCCGACATTCCTCCTCATCAGTTATTCTGCCTAGGGCTGATGGGAGTTGCAGTCCCACAAAATCTGGAGGGCCACCTCTGAGTTAAAGGAACATTTGGGTTCTTCTAGGCACCTTTCCTTCCGGTCCCCGGATGGGTTATGCTTAGTGTTGTCATTCAGTAATTCCCGACTGCTTTGTCATCAAATTTCCCAGTGTTTCTCCCACCCCCACCCCGACATGATAGCCTCCTGTTCTAAATAATCTGACAAATGCCATTGTCAAGGCTGTTTGCACATTTGGATCTCAGCCCCAGAAAGGGCAAAAGAAACATTGTACAAGACTAATTAATTTTTTAAAAAAGGGCCAGGAGAGAAGGAATCTTGGAATAAAAAAAAAGCCAGGAAGCAAAAGTTGAAAGCCTGAGCAAGACGTCATGCTTCTTTAGGGGGAAAGATTAACCCTGGAATTTGCAGGGAGAGAGAGAGAGCGAAGGACTCCCTGAAGCCACCTAGGGGTCAACCACAGAGAAGAGGCTTCGGTACCCACCAAACACCAGAGAAGAAATGAAACGGGAGGAGAGGGGCTTCCCTGCTGCGAAAATCAGTTCTCATTGCTGGAAGCACATTGGATAAACATCCAGCCTGAAAGGTTTTGGATGAAATTATCTTGACTGGCTGCAGAGTGACACATTTCTCAAGGTGCCCTCCAGTGCCCATGGTTCTTTAACGATTGCTTGCTATCTGCCACTGAAAACAATGTTGCCCATTCTTCCATTACTGCTTTAATGCATTGATTCTTTTGCACGAAGGATCAGGGCTCTCTATGTGCACTGTTTTGCTTTCTGTACTGGTCTCTTTTTCAACGACTCACCGCAATACTTGCTGTTCCCTTCCAAGTGCTTGAAATGATGATGGCAGATTTGGGGATGTGGGGGTGGGGTGGGTGGGGGATGGGGAAGAGTCCCAGTGAAAACAATATGAATGATAAAATACTTCTAAAACTCCGTAGTCAATCGGCACTAAAAACCAAGCAGCCCAGCAGAGGCATGAAAGAATTAAGAGTACTGTACATGATATGGAGGAAAGGGTGCAAACCGTCCAAGGGAGTGTGGCACTGCTGGCCCTACTGTTAAGCAAAGTGAAGTGGCGGCCTCAGGCAACTGATCTTGGAAGACGGCAAAGACAGCAAGAAAGTGCTGGAAGACTATGGAGCAAGCACTTTAACCCTGTATGCCTGCTCGCTGTCCTCTTGCTTCAGCTTTGCTTTCTCATTGCAAAAGTTGAAGCAAGATTCAGCTGTCACCCAGAGAGGCTTCTGTTTGTAGAATGGAGAATAATAATTATAAACATGTGCCGTCCAGCTAATTCTGACTTATGGCGACTCTTTCCAGGGTTTTCCAGGTAGGGAATACTCCGAAGTGGTTCTCCATTCCCTCCTTCTGGGAGCGCCCTGGGACTGTGCAGCTGGCCCAAGGCTACACAGGCCGACTCTCCTCACAGGAGGCACAGTGGGTGATTGAACTCCTAACTTCTGGCTCCGGAGCCAGATACCTAAAGGGCCACTATATATCCTTTGCTTCAAGCAGCTAAATATGTTGGGCCAACCCTGGCTTATCAGCAGCATATGAACCAAACCCGGCCCCTGGATCCCCATGTTTTTCCTCCCCTTAATCATTTTCCTCCAACTGGGATACAACTAAAGAGCTCTCTAATTTCACACACACCCTCCCGTGTGACTCACCCAGATTTCTGACCAATGGGAAAGAAGGGTTTGTGATACTTATAGATTAAAGAGCTGCATGAGTCAGAAGCAGCGCTTGCTGGCCCTGAGTGCACATGATTTGCCCATCAAGAACATAATGAGGAAGGGGGGTCAGGTGGGCACCCTGCTATAAGGTCCGCCAGGATCTCAGGCAGCTGCCTGAAATCGTAGAGAACTCTTGGTGGGTCTCTCCAGGTAGGGAGACCATTCTCGAGGTGCACGGATGGGGGAGACAGTTTGAACATTGTGTCTGCTATGTTTTCAAAAGCTGGGCATCCACTTCCCTCCTGTTTCATCTGGTGCTGGAGCAAATGAACTCAGTGCATCCAAAAGCTGGGAGTAAGGAGAAGGAACCCTGGGTGCACATACCCACACCCAGGAAGTAGGAGGCTTCACTGTCACAACTTGTGAGACTTCTTGCCCCATAAGCCCTGGCAACAGTGGTCCAGCTCCTGGGAGGGGGCAGGGGAGGAGCCCTCCGTGGGTGGGAGGCATAACTTCCACAAGCTCCAGCAGCAGCATAGGAGACCCTCCCCAGAAGTCATGTGTGCTGTGGCTGAGGCCCCATGGAGGCCAAGCCCAGAGATTAAGGGTGGCAACTAGAGATGGGGGTATTTGTATTCATATACAAATACAAATATCGCTACACAGGTGGCATTAATGAGGGTCCAGCCCCATGGGGCTGGACAATCTAC